GGAGGGAGAAGGAGGGAGGGAAAGCAGAAAGGGAAATTCATATCAATAGTTGCAGAGATTTGAAAAAGGAGAGAAGTCTGCAGATTTTTTAACCTAAGGATCTATAAGCATAGGGAGAATATCATTAGGATAACGAGGAAAAGTTTTCTTGATAAATTTCATGGGGGCGAATCTGTCACAGGAGCAACATAAGGGGAAACAAAAAATTACATAGTTGGCATCCTGTCTAGGGTTATCGCACGTACAAACCGAAGAATCCACCATGTTTTTCCTATGCAAGAAATTTAAATTGTAATGGTTGGCACGAAGTCTGTTAGTCAAGACAATCTCCTGGCGGTTGACTTTTTCTAGTATCACGTCATATTAGAGGAGTTAGCGTAAAGCGAGGCGTAATGTTATCCTATAGTTCTTGAAACGTCTTCGAAGTATTTATTGAAACGAGAGACTGACATTTTTGTTGGCTTCCAGATCAGATCAGAAGGGAGTTCCTTAAGATTTAAGTTGTCCCTCCTTCCTTCTAAGGTGACCTCCTTGGCCGCCTTATCCGCTTTCGTTGCCCGGAATATCACGATGAGCCGGGATCCAGACAAGAGTGACGTTGATGTCCCTGCTGCAAGAGACAGCGAGGAGACGCTTGATCTGAGTGTATAGTTAGAATTAATAAGTCTGTTGGAGTCAATAGATTTCAGGACGCTCTTAGAGTCAGAGAAAATCATTGCTTTGGAGTAACCAGTGTTCTGAATTGAAAATAAGCGATTGGAGGATCGCCCAGGCCTCCGCTGTAAACACGGTAGCCTCTGAGGTCAACCTGTATCGGAAACTCACTCCGAGCTCCGGAGAGTAAGCTGCCGCCCCTGCGTACCCCTGCTCTTCCATTTTGGAGCCGTCTGTGTAGAAAGCAATGGCTGAGTCTCGAAGATCAATGGAGTTGTCTAAGAATTCTTGTTTAATAGCACTCCTTGTTGTCTGAAATAATTTTTATAATCCAGTCGGAGAATGAAATCAGAGTAGGAAGTTTCGAATGCAAGGTGAAAGGTACAATAGATTGAAAGGTGTTATTAAAAGCGTGTTTATTAAGGATGTAGTATTTGAAGGATGGCAATACTGAGAGAGTTTTTGATCTCTCCTCGGGTGATAAAGTCGTCCTTTCCATGGAACTGAGGCTGCGGATAACTGGGTTATTTCTAGACATAGAATACATTTTCAACACGTATCTTTCATAACAGCAAAGCGAAATTTAAGCGAGAGTTCCTTGGCTTCAATCAGAATGACGTTGATGGGTGTAAACTAGTCTGTAACCTAGAACGATTCTAATCGCCTTGTATTGAAGTCGTTCTAATTGTAGGAGAAGCCATTTCTTATTCTGATGAACAAAAATCTGGCAGCCATATTTGACGGATCCTCTAAAAACGGTTCTATAGATGATGAGTAAGAACTGGAGGTGGGAACCCCACCAGACCGCTGCCAAAGATGACGGTCATAGGACGTTAATCAGTGATTTTTCTTTTTTGACCTGCTTGAAGTGATTTTTTCCCTTGAGTCTGCGGTCCAAAATAACGCCCAGAAACCTCACGCTGAGGACTCTCTCCACTAAATGATTGTTGATAAAGATCTTGAAGATAGAATTTTCTTTAAGGAAATGCTTTCTGTTGGAAAATAAAATCCATTTGGATTTGGTTGGTGATAACTCTAGGCCTTTATTTGAAAGGTACAAATAAATCACATTAAGTGAGGATTAGAGGTTGGCAACAGCTTCTCCAATTTTTCTCGAAGAAGAGTAGACCACAATGTCGTCCGCATATTGCAAAAAGTTGATTCCAAGGTGTAGTTGAAGATCCATTTTGCGAACACAAATGTTAAAAAGTAGCGGGCTTAGCGTCCTTGAGGTGTTCCCTTATGTACAGAGTAAGCCTCGCTGAGATGAAGTACAGAGTAAGTCTCCTCAACAAAGTGTACCCTTCTATGAGTGATAATGTTTTCTATAAATTTACGAAATTTTGCAGGAACTCCAATTTTCTGAGTCTTAGAAAGGACTACTTTAGAAAGCACATTGTCAAAAGCGCCAGTTATGTCCAAGAAAGCTATCGCGACGGCTTCATTCTCCAGAAAACTTGTTTGGATGTTGTTTGTGAGGGTAACCAAGCTATCTATGCACGATCTGTTAGGTCTAAAGCCCATTTGTTCTTGTGATAAAATCGCCATTGCACCTTAAATAAACAATCTTCTCAAAGATTTTGAGGGCATATGATAGAAGTGAGACGGGGCGAAAACCAGAATTATTCGCCTTCGGAATAAGATGATGAGCGAGGTCCTCCAGGAAGGTGGTATAGTTCTCTCCTGTAAAAAGCGGTTGAATAAGTTCAGTAAAAGTTTTTTGTATTTAGTCGGCAAAGCAGAGAGCATAATATAGCTGATTTGATCTAGACCCGGAGAATTTTTTCTAGATTGTGATAAAGCGAGATTGAACTCATTGGTGGAAAAGGGCGATCTAGATTTTTGAAAACTGTTCCCTGATGGTGAATGTCTTCTGCAATCATTGATGACAAGCTTTTGCCAATATTTGTAGAGCAGAAAGAAGAATAAATTTTACCCTTGGCCTTTTCTAGAAGTTCTGCCTGTCATCTGAAATTACACTGGAAGGCTCTGATAGATTACGTCTTTTGAAGGCTTTAACGCCATCTGTCACTGGTAGGAGTCTTACAGTCGAATAACCCCACGAATTTCTTCCATTGCCTCTTCTTAACCTTACATAAAATTCTAGTGCATAACGCTCTTTCTTTCTTGAAAGGAAATTTTCGACGGATAGGCATTGCTGATATATTTTTGCGGCATTTCTGCGACTTAGAATGGCCCTGAAGCATTCTTCCGTCCACCAAGGAGGACTCTTTCTGTCGCTGGGAGCCGGGACTGACCTGGGAAGTCGTTACTTTTCGAGGAAAAGCGATCTCACGAAGCTTCGTAAGTGATCTGCAAAATATTCATTATGCCTCAGTAGAATCCATAGGAACTTTGCTAAAAAATTCCTTGAAAGTAGATAGTAAATAGTGGTGTAATTTATTAGCTTTGTCCGTATTAAGGATTAATTTGTATAGAAAGACGTAGACAAGAGAAGCCGCCAATAGTTATGTTGATAGGGAAGTGATCACTGCCAAAGGTATCCGTTTCCGTAATGATTTCACATAGTGGCGCCAAATCGGCAGAAGTAATGATGATGTCAATTATAGATTTGTTTGACCCCGGCGGGGGTGAGGAGCGTACGATTACCATCATTGGTAATAGAGGCTCCGTTTATTTCCACTATGCTTAGAAGCGCCCTGCCAGGACGATCGGATTTGGAGCATCCCTAAGATGTGATGTGCCTTAAAATCATCTGTTATGAGTATGTTCTTATACTTGTTAAGAGTTTGTGAAAGTTTCGAACCATTCTTGAGGTGTATGTTGGTTCGGATGATGATAGATGTTAATAACGGTTAGTTGCTCATCATTGAGATTGATTGCTATACTTTGTACTTTTACCGAAGAATGATGTAGATTCGAAAGATCCAAATGGCTGTCCAAATATGATATTGTTCCTTAACAGGATACAGATTCGTCTTTGGCCAGAGCTCTCTGAGTCCTTTCTAATAACTTTAAAAGGCGAAAGTCGAAAAGCGTGGTTGGATAAAGGATATCTTGCAAGCAGAAAACATCAAACTGTCGATTAATATATTGTAATTGAAGTAGTTTGCTACGAATGCCGCAGCAAATCCATTGTAGGATTCTAATAGGTTGTGAATGCTTATTGCAGGTGAAGGTGATTATTATATCTTGCTAGTAAGTCAGCATTATTAAGAGAGGAAGAATGTAGGTTACTTACAGAGTCAGTACTAGATTCGGAGCAATAACCAAGAGTGGATAGAATTTCGGAGATTTTTTGAAGTAGAGAAATAATGGGGGATATCATGCCGGTAAGCAGGAATGTTAACCAGAGCTTCACAGTTCTCGAGGAAGCTTATGATCTTCTGAGTGATCATACCTATGTTTGAAGTCGATTTCTCTGTTGGTGATGGACATGGAGACTCTTTATCGCTTGCTCCTTTGAGTCTAGGTGATCCTGAGAGTATCCTGATTTGTTTGTACGTTGAGTTGAATGATCCAAAGATGACGCAGGAAGAATTTTATATTTCCCTGCAGACTCTATTTTAGGGATGGATGGCTTCCCTGAGGAGAGGGACCCGAAACAGTCGGTTGATCGAGTCTCAGAAGCGGCGATACTGCTTTCTTGGCATACCTTACAGGAGGTTAGGAGAGAAAGGATCCTTTGAGTCGTCATGGTCAAGATGTTGGAAGTGATTGTGTGAAGCTAGCGGTGTCATAGAGGGGAGGCTAGATATAGTATACGGAGAGCTGTAGGATTTGGGCACAGAAGAAGAAGAAGCAGAAGTATGACTTTGGAGGTAAGGAAAGTTTTTAAAATCAAGAAGTGTGAGAAGGCGGGAGGAGAGAGCTGTTGGAAGCAACTATTTTTCTAGCTTCCACAAGAGGAATATTTTCCTGCGCGGCCAGGCTGAGAATAGTCTTGTGCTTAGTAATGATAGGCATGTGTGCGAGGTTGCGAAATGATCCCCCTCGCAATTGATACACTTAGCATGCGCCCAATCAGTTAAGCAAGAGTGATCTTCCTCTCTAGTGAGTCCACAGAAGAGGCATCTTGGCTTGGTGCTTTTACAGTTCTCGACCGATATGGCCAATTCTATAGCAAACGTAATAAATCCTGGCTTTTGGAATATATGGATCGACCTTGTATAAAGCATTAAATAAAACTACGTCCTTCGGGAGTGATTGTCTTGCGAATTTTATAGATTGTTCGCGAGGGCAGGTAAGTGGCCTTGCTGTTGATTGTCATGCGTCTGTTTAAGCGTTGTACGTCAAGTACTTTGACTGTTGAGGTTAGATTTTTTTTGAGCCAGTCCAACGAGATAAACTGATCAATGCCCTTGATAATTCCGGTGCGGAGGACTTTAAAGGGTGGAATGAAGGCCGTTTTTATCGAAGACAGGATTAGAGATCAAACGATTAGCCGCGTCTGCAGTCTTAGCCTCTATTATGGCTTTACCGGCGCCAAGCCTCTTAATGAAAAGAATATCACTCCTGATAGATTCAGAAACAACGCGAGAGAGTACAGAAAAATGCGTCGGCGTGGACTTATCCGAGTATACATATATGACAAAAGGGGGAATGTCATTTTTAGAGTATTTATTAATCGAGACATTCCTCGTTTTGGCGGACGTCGACGCCGACGCATCTAAGTGGGATTCAGATACATTATTCGATAAATTATTCTTAGAGTGTGTTGGATCGACGGCCAAGACCTTCGATCTCATCTCCTCACCTATTAGCTCAGCACTACGCTTGCGATCAGATTTCTGAACATCAGTGTCCATAGGAAGCGGTGAATTGATGGTGTCAATATTGACGACAGAGACTGATAGAGAGGAGGTGTCACCGCTTCCGCCATTACTGCCGACGGCTTCCGCCATTAAATTAGTGAGCATTCGGTTCATATTCTTGTTCGAAGAAGCGTCCGCCAAATGCGCACCAGAATCGGAATTGGAAGATGATGAGGAAGAAGAAGGCAGAGAACTCGATTCCATTGAGAGGGAAGAGCCATTACGCGATATTATAGACCTAACGGCGGCTTCTATCCCCCCCCCCCCCCCCACGGCCACAATGCCGAAGGTCGATCCTCCGACATGGAACTGAGAGAATGTGATTTACGGAAAGACAGATAAAGAAGAGCACAAAAATGAACACAGACTCGCGTCAGCCCACCTAGCAGGCCAAATTAGAGCGAAAAAGCGCTATGCAAATGCAAGAAAAGCCCCGTAAAATACCGCAGCGAACGAACCCACGTGTGCATCCAATGTGCCACCTCGCGGAATTCTACTGCATATACTGTGGTAAGGTATTAGTTCCCTATGGGAAATACTCATGTAATACTTAGGTCGCGATTGAAGCACCGTCGTCATGCGATTGGTTGACGACGGATTGCCATGGTATGATTAATTTGATTTGAACATGAGACTGTCTGGCGGATATCTTTGGCGAAACGATTTATCGAAAGATATATAACTGAATAATAAAGACTTTATTAAATCTATTAATCCTACGAGTTGAATCATAATTAATCATAATTAAAATTTACGAACCATTCCATTTTTTAATAACATCATTTCTTCTCCTATTTTTTATATCACCTACGGACAAACAATTACAAAAAATGGAATCGGACACATGTACACTTGTATCGGCGCATCCTAACATTATTTTTACGCACGCTGACAAGGGTAACACGGTTGTTATGGACAAAGACGCAGACATGAATAAAATGAACATATTATTAGATGACTCAGACACGTATGTTCCTATTAAGAAAGATCCTACCAAGAAACTCGCGACAGCTTTAAAGTCTATGCTCACTAGATGGAAAACGAAAGATTATATCAAGGACTCTAAGTACAAAGCGTTATATTGCAGTGACGGATTACTTCCAAGAGTCTATGGATTGCCGAAGATTTACAAATCTGGTTGTCCTCTCAGAATTATTGTCTCTTCAAAGGGCAGTCCGCTATATTCATTGGCCACATATTAGGTGTAGTAAAAAGAAATCTATTATTTTTCCAATAGATGGCTTTAGTAATCTGTATCTCGCGTTGTAAATATAAGTGCGATCGGGTTACGCCAAATGGCGTTAGAAAGATAAGATTTCGTACTAAAAAACTTCTCAGACAGTTTTGTGATTGCTTGAGTCAGTATTGTTTGAGCGCGTGTCAAAGATGGACACCAACAAAGAGAAAATACGCCATATTTTACAGTTTTTCTTCGATAAAGGCGAAAACGCAAGCCAGGCTGAAAATGTGAATAGTGTTTATGGTCCTGATACTGTAACAGTCAATATCGCGCAATTTTGGTTTCGTCGATTCCGTTCCGGTAATTTTGATGTCAAAGATGCACCACGCTCTGGAAGGCCAATTGTCGAAAATGTCGATAAAATAATGGAAATCGTCGAGTCCGACCGTCATGTAAGCACTGTTTCGATTGCCCAGGAGCTAAACATTGCACAAAAAACCGTTTGGAACCATTTAAATAAGGCTGGATACAAAAAGAAGCTCGATGTATGGGTGCCACACGAGTTAACGCAAAAAAACCTCATGGACCGAATTTCCATCTGCGAATCGCTGCTGAATCGCAACAAAATCGACCCATTTCTGAAGCGAATGGTTACTGGTGATGAAAAGTGGGTCACTTACGACAACGTCAAGCGAAAACGGTCGTGGTCGAATCGCGATGAGCCGGCGCAAACGGTGGCCAAGCCAGGATTGACGATCAGGAAGGTTTTGCTGTGTGTTTGGTGGGATTGGCAGGGAATCATCTACTATGAGCTGCTCCCCTACGGCCAAACTCTTAATTCGGACCTGTACTGTCAACAATTGGACCGTCTGAAAGAAGCAATCGCCCAGAAGCGGCCAGCTTTGGCCAATAGGAGAGGAATTGTGTTCCATCAAGACAACGCCAGGCCACACACATCGATAGTGACTCGCCAGAAGCTCCGGGAGCTTGGTTGGGAGGTTCTTATGCATCCACCTTATAGTCCGAACCTGGCACCAAGTGATTACCACCTGTTCCTGTCTATGGCGAATGATTTTGCTGGTGAAAAATTCGCCTCAAGAGAAGCTTGTGAAAATCGACTGTCCCAGTTTTTTGCCAATAGGGACGAGGATTTCTATGAGAGAGGCATAATGAAATTACCTTCAAAATGGCAACAAGTTATCGAACAAAACGGTGCATATTTGACCTAAATCGGATCATTCTAACTATGCTAAATAAAGCCTTCAATTTAATGCAAAAATAATAGATTTCTTTTTACTACACCTCATATTTGCATAATATATTATTTAAGACTATTCCTAAAGCAGACAGTTACATCAAAAATAGCTTTCAATTAGTTAAAAAATTAAAAAGATTATACATCACAGGTGAATATAAATTAATTTCATTAGACATTATATCTGTTTTTACGAATGTTCCAATAGAGAGAGTTGATTGTGTTAATGAGCAATAAAGTTTTATTTCCAAGGATTGTTCTCTGCCTAAAAATGAGTTTTTGGGAGCGATACGGTTTGTTAGATTCCACTTTTTTTTCTTTTGGCAATAAAATTTATAAGCAAAACTTCGGCTCTCATGGGCTCTCCTTTATCACCTGTAATAGCAGATCTAGTAATGAGGAGATTAAAGACGGTGTGTTTGATGTCGTTGAATCTGGATATTTTGTTTTATTATAGTGGTATGTAGACGATATTTGTACCGCGGTTTCTCCTTCAAAAATTGATATTTTACTACAACAATTTAATTCATTTCATCTGCGTCTTCAATTTACTACAGAAATAGGGGGAGATAAGATAAATTTTCTGGATATTACTATATCTATCAACAGGAATTATTTTATTTTTGATTAGTATCGTAAACCTACTTTTTCAGGAAGATTTTTAAATTTTCATTCAAATCATCCTATTTCACAAAAAAAAGGCACAATTTTTTTGTTAGTTGACAGAGCTTATTTTCTTTTCGACTTTATGTTTCATACAAAAAATCTGACATTTATCATTAACATTTTACTAGATAATAACTATCCATTAACTTTTATTTTTGACACAGTTAATTAACGTATTAAAAATTTAATTAAAAATAGACACACAGTACATAAAGATTCGGTTGACAATGCACGAACGATTCTGCATCTTGGCTTACGGTACCATTTATTCCTCTTCACACAGAAAAATTTAAACGGTTCAATAAAAACGACATCAAGGTATTTTTTCATAGTCCTAACAAAATGGATAAATATAAAGGGTGGGCCATCTATTGGTACGTTTTTGAATAATTGGGGTGACCGAATGGCATACTGTAAGGCCAGTAGAGGGAGCCACATGAACGAAATCGTTTTTCATTCTTGACGCGGATACTTTTAGCTTCACAACAAAAAAAAAATTAATAAAAAATATCAATGTATGCTCATTTGATCGCATTTTTAAACGTACCAATAGATGGCCCACCCTTTATTAAAGTATAAAAGGATATTTATCCCCATACATTTAAGAGTAATGTATGTAGTCTATAAGATATCGTGCAATAATTGTAATGCGTCGTACGTTGGACAGACGGGCAGACAATTAAAAACCAGAATTACAGAACATCGTAATCATATTAGACATAACATTTCTGTCCGTTCTGTCATAACGGAGCACAGGCTACATTATGATCATGATTTCCAATGGGATAATGTTAAAATTTTAGATAAAGAGCCTTGCTTTAGGAAACGCTTATTTCTGAGATGCTCAATATTAAGAAGCAGAAAAATAGTTTGAATTTACAAACTGACACCGAAGGTCTTCATAAGGCATACCATATACGAGGTCTGTTCAAAAAGTATCGCGAATTTTGAATTTCCGCGAGTTACGTATATTCGATTTTCGATTTTTTGTGGCGTTATGTTGGTACTCATGTCTCTCACTTATACTGACAAGTTCGGCCATTTTGAATGTTCAGTTAATTTTTGACAGCTGCTTTGCTTGCACGTGTTTTGGCTCGTCTTCGATTTTTGCCTATTCAAAAAAATGGATCAAAGAATCTGTATCAAATTTTGTGTGAAAAACAAAATTAAGTGCGCGGACGCATTCCGAATGTTGACTGTGGCATATGGTGAAGCTACCTTGGACCGAAGCAACGTTTATCGGTGGTACAAAATGTTCTCAGAGGGCCGAGAAGATGTGAACGACGAAGAGCGTGCCGGACGCCCGAGCACGTCAACAACAGACGAAAACATTGATGAAGTGAAGAAAATAGTATTGGCCAATCGGAACGGTCAATAAGGAATATTACCTGCAAGTTATGCGCAATTTGCGCGAAGCAATCCGCCAGAAACGCCCGGATTTGTGGAAGAACAAAAATTGGCTTTTGCACCATGATAACGCCCCTGCTCACACATCGTTGCTTGTGCGCGAATTTTTGACCAAAAACAACACACTAATGATGCCGCAGCCACCGTATTCCCCAGATCTGGCCCCCTGTGACTTTTTCTTGTTCCCGAAACTGAAGAGGCCCATGAAAGGACGACGCTACGCTACGATTGAGGAGATAAAGACGGCATCGAAGGAGGAGCTGAACAAGATCACAAAAAATAATTTTTTGAAGTGCTTCGAGGATTGGAAAAAACGTTGGCACAAGTGTATAATATCTGATGGGGATTACTTTGAAGGGGACAAAATAGATATTCATGAATAAATAAATAATTTTTGAAGAAACACAAAATTCGCGATACTTTTTGAACAGACCTCGTATACCTATTGTAAACAAAGTTTGACTTTTCGAAACTGACAGACTGTCTTTTCTCTCAGTTCATGGTGATTCGTAGCAGCGAGCGTACACAATAATTGATACGTAATGTCCGTCTTACACATCTGCGTTCCACCTTTCTGTATATATTCTAAAAGTTTTTTTATTCTTATATGGACACACTGGTTTGAGTAATTTACACATGATTTTTGAGTCTTTATTTCTTATTAGATTTTCGGTATGTTAATTTATTTGCGTGTATTTTTTTTTGTAAGAAGTCTTTTTATCTTTGTTATCAACTAGAACTTTTCCAAGATATTCGAAACACATTTGACTGTTCAATCGTACGGGAACAATGAGTTCTACACTAAGACTCATCCGAACTGCGAATGTAATAAATATGCGAACATTTGCGATAATTGATTTTGTACTACGATTTTTTTCGTTATGTTAACGTCTGAAGAGGGCTCAATCCGGTAGCCGAAACTTGTAACTGAGTTTTTATTATTTATATTTTATTTTTTCATAATATAATATAATTTTACTTTTCTTTTTTTAATATTTTTTTATAATTATTCTTTTAATTGTGTGACTTTTTAAAGAAATGTGTTGACTTACTTTGCCCTTTATTTATTATTATTTATAATTAAAAGTCTATTAGTCAACTGATGTTGTCTATAAGAAAGATCCTGGTATACAATTTAAAGCATTAAAGCTTTAATTTTTTATTTACGGAAGCTTGCATTCTTTCGGAGTATCGCTTCCTTTCAGCTTTTTCTGTGCATTGTGAGTACTGTTCAATTCAAAATGTTGAATAGAAAATGCAGTTTTTCAATCCAGTTGCTTCCAATTGAATCTAATTGAATCCAATTGAATCTAATTAAATCCAAAAAAAGTATTTGCTATTTAAAATACGCATTCGGATAGAAAAAATTTTAATCCATTTTAATTTTTAATCCATTCTCGTTTGATGGGTAGGTGGATCATCAAAGTGCAGTGGTTTCCATACAATTTCAGAAGTTAAGGATAATAGATGGCGATATGCAACCGGATGGGTGACCATTTCGAAGCATTTTGAAAATTAGTTCCCGAATTTAGGGAAAAACGTTTTTTTTTTATCATAATTTTATATGCCTATTGATAAGAAGATTGCTATCACTAATCATTCAATTCTATTTTTGAAAATCATTTTTTCTCCTATTTTTTATATCACCTACGGACAAACAATTACAAAAAATGGAATCGGACACATGTACACTTGTATCGGCGCATCCTAACATTATTTTTACGCACGCTGACAAGGGTAACATCACGGTTGTTATGGACAAAGACGCATACATGAATAAAATGACCACTTTATTAAGTGACGTAGACACATATGTTCTGGTCAATAAAGATCCTGCTAAGAAACTCACGACGGCTTTAAGGTCCATGCTCACCAGATGGAAAACAAAAAATTATATTAGCGACACTAAGTACAGAACGTTATATCGTAGTGACGGATCACTTCCGAAAGTCTATGGATTGCCGAAGATTCATAAACCTGGTTGTCTTCTAAGGGTCATCGTCTCTTCGATAGGTAGTCCGCTGTATCCATTGGCTACATATTTGCATAACATATTATTCAAATCCATTCTCAAAGCGAATAGTTACATTAAAAATAGTTTCGAATTAGTCGATAAATTAAAAAGGTTACACATTACAGACGAATAATTTCATTGGATGCTAAATCTTTATTCACGATTGTTCCAATGGAGATAGCGGTCGACTGTGTTAATGAACAGTGGGATTTCATTTCCAGAGATTGCCCTCTTCCTAGAAAGGAATTTTTGAGATAAGGTTTATTCTCGATTCCACATTTTTTTCATTTAACAATGCAATTTATAAGCAAAGCTTCGGCACTCTCATGGCTCTCCTTTATCTCCTATAATAGCGGACTTGGTGATGAGGAGACTTGAGACAATGTCCTTGATGTTGTTGGACTTAGATGTAGTATTTTATTTTAGATACGTGGATGACATTTGTACTGTGGTTGTTTCCTCGAAAATTGATTTGTTATTAGAACAATTTAACTTATTCCATCCGCATTTGCAATTTACTTCAGAAGTGGGGGGAGACGTAATTAATTTTCTGGATGTTACTATATCTATTAATGAGAACAGGTTTAATTTTGATTGGTACCGTAAGTCGACCTTTTCAGGGAAGTTTTTGAATTTTAATTCTAGCCCATCCCATGGCACAAAAGAGAGGGACGATTCTTTCGCTGGTTGATAGAGCTTTTTTACTATCAGACTTAAAGTTTCACACACAGAATTTGACGTTTATTATCAACATTTTATTAGACAATGACTATCCACTGACATTCATTTTTGACACAGTCAATCAACGTATAAAAAATTTGATTAGAAATAGACATATAACACATAGAGTTTTGGCTGACAATGTCGGGACGAGTGAATCTGTTTCTTGGCTTACGGTATCATTTATCCCTTTCCACACGGAAAAGTTCAAACGTTTCAATAAAAACAACATCAGGGTATCTTTCCGTAGTCTCAATAAATTGAACAAATACATTAAAGTACAGAAAGATATTTGTCCACATATATCGAAGAGCAATGTGGTCTACAGGATTTCGTATGATGATTGTGATGCTTCATACGTGGGACACACAAGCAGAAAATTAAAAACCAGGATTGCTGAACATTGCAATCACATTAGATACAACACTTTTTGGGCGTTGTCATAACTGAGCATAGGAGACAGCTGGATCACGAATTCCAATGGGACGAAGTCGTAATTTTAGACGAGGAGCCTTGTTATCGGAGACATTTGGTTTCAGAGATGCTTAATATCAGGAAACAGAAGAATGGTCTCAACTTACAAACTGATACCGATGGCCTCTACAAGGCTTCTATTCCCATCATAAATAAAGTTGACTTTCTGATACTAACAGTCCGTCTCTTCTCTCAGTCTGTTTTGATCAGCATTACTGAACGTACATAGTAACCGACGCGTAATGTCTGTCTTACACATCTGCGTTCGTACTTCCTGTATATATTCCAAAAGTTTTTTATTCCTTTCTGGACACAATCGTTTGAATTTTGTTACACATTCTAGTGAGTTCTGATTATAATTCTTTTATTATTTGTTAGATTCCCGGTATGTTAATTCATTTACGCGTAGATCTTTTTGTGTAAAGTTTTCAAGTTTTTCTTTTTATCAACTAGAGCTTTGCCAAGATTTTTTTAATACGGATTTGACGGATTCAATCGTACGGAAATAATGTCGAACTCTACATCAAGACTCACCAGAACTGTGAATGTTATGAATATACGATCATTTGCGATAATTGATTTTGTTCTGCGATTTTTTCGTTATGTTAATGTCTGAAGAGGGCTCAATCCGGTAGCCGAAACTTGTAACGTTATGTAATTTTACCTTTGTTAATTGAAATATATTTTTTTGTTAATTTCAAAAAAATGTGTTGACTCTTATTTTGCCCGTTACTTATTATTATTTGGTTCATAATTTTATGATGTTTATTCTGGAATAAGATATTAATTAATAATAATACTTATATAAGGATTATTTTGTCTTGATTATGATCCTAAATTTGTTTAATACATTAATTTAATTCAGTTTTTAGTCCATTGCGACTTAAAATAGACGTTTTTAAGAATTCCAATATGGTAACACTAGATATGTATATCTTTAAAACGTTTTTAAAATATCTATGGATCTAATCTGGATGTTTTTAATGTGTCCAAAACGTCCATGTACATTTTATATATTTTTTAAAAATGTGCTGTGCTGTCTGTGTGTGTGCGCGCGCGCGTGTGTGTGTGTCTGTGTGTGTAATTATTCATGTATAATATTAATCCAAAATTTTACTTTCTGTGCATTGTGCATAAACTGGAAATTCGATCATTTCCTAATATTATTTTTTTACACACTCTTTTTGTACACTTATGTGAATTTCATTAACGTAAGATAAATATAATAATTGTATACACTTATGTGGATAAATGTATCTTGTTCAGACACGATGTTTTATCCAAAATCTTTTTTATAAAAAAAAAATTTATAAAAAAAAGAATTTGAATAAAACGAAATGATAAGATCGTTTTAAAACATTGTAAAAATGAATGAGAATTATCCATACCCTGCTAAAAATTCCAAGCACGTTCGTATAATTGATTCGTAATTTGAACGTAATGGTCAAATGTGGTTTCTTGCACTGGAAATTCTGTTATATCCAAATTACATATGGAGTTCCAGATATGTTCCATGCCGACTCTTGTCTACAAATTCCATTCTATCCGAAGCATTTGGAATTCCAGATCATTCAAATCAATTTGCTGTACGAAAATTTACTCAGCAAACGAGAATGGATTGAAATGAATTGAAATGGATTCAGATTTTCAGAAATATTGATTCATAAATGTTAAAATGAATGCTTTTCAATCCTGAATGCATTTTTATTCGTTTATAAGAATTGCATGGAGCATATCTCTATGTCTTTCAATCCAAAAATAATATTATCTTTTTCTGTGCACAAATACACAATTGTGAATACTGTTCAATTCAAAATGTTGAAATGCAGTTTTTCAATTCAATTACATTCAATTGAATCTAATTGAATCCAATTGAATCCAATTAAATTAAAAAAAAGTATTCGCTATTTAAAATACGCGCGCGCGCGCATTCGGATAGAACCAAATTTCAATCCATTTTAATCCATTCTCGTTTGCTGGGTATATATAATTGCGAAAAGTTTTTCGCAATTAAAGTAGAACAAATCACAATAACATTAAAATGACGTTAAACCGAATCGTGATTGATAAAAAAAATGACTTTTAGAGTCATTCTAATATCATAATTTTTTTGTTCTTTAAATATGTTTTTCAGTTTATTATCTATGATAGATTTTAGAAACATTTCTGTTAAAACATTTCATATGAAAATTGTAGAATTTCAGAATTGTTACACATAAGACATCAAAAGTTAAAACATTTCTAAAAATATCCGCAATAATCGGTGCTGTATGGATAATCCATCTTGGTTCGCGGAGCCCGACCCAATGTGTTTTCTTAAAGATTCTTTTGTTTCGTGCAAAAACACATCAAATAAGCCTAATTTTATTAAAATCTAAAGTAAGGGGATTATTCTGAATAATTATCGTTAAAAAATATGTAAGTATGTGTGGATATGATATTGATGTAGTAGTATATAAAGATATATCAATGTGTCGCATTTTTATCAGTAAAACAGCGATCGGTCTCATTGGAGTTCGGGCTTCATTTTAGGATTCTCTTGTGGCAACCACTACCAGAGATGACGGGACGCGCTCGGTTTCGCGCAAGCACCTCAGTCACGCAAAGATCCTTTAAATAGGATAACGACTGAAATTGATTCCGGAGTGTCTAAGGCAGATCCCCACTACATCGCTTTACTGATAAGTCTGGTAGTATGGGACCGAGACGAAACGCCACGGCCAACCACTTAACTTCGAGTCTGGCCTCTTTAGTGAGTTTTCTTCTTTACCGACATGCCTAGGACATTTCCTGAATTATGTAGCAATCCGCTACACCCTTAAACCTGTGGTCGAGCATCAGCATGAGAAGACGCTTTAAATTGTATATGCACCATAAACCATAAACGCAGTTTTAGTTTCTCGATTCTCGGTGAGTACCAAAAGTTTCGATGTCTACCGACGTGATCGGAGGCGTTATTTCGTCATTATTTTTGGAAAATGTGACTGGCTTCAAACGCGCAATTGAGTTTATGTTATTCTTTTAGACTTTCGTATTCTGCATATTGATTTTTGTTACTCACCGCATAAGCGGCATTTTCGATTGTGGCCGTCGATTCTGATTTGGGGCCATTTTCGCGAAGAGGAAGAAGACATAAATGCGGTTATTACATTTGAAGCATGTATAATTTAAAAATAACAAGTTATCTAGTTAACCAATTTTGCATTGTGTCGCACTGTAACGCCGCTAGTATCGTTCATAATTTTTTACAGTACAAAATAGAGACTAGCGATTGCGTAAGTACCCAAACGACATTTAAATGTTTCTAACCTTTTATTCTCAATTAGAGGTTATATATACCGGTTGTTCATAATTCATTTATAATTAGTACATACGGCTTTACAAGTGCTTTCACACACGAATTTGTATTGTAAGATTATAATTTCAGTTATAATTGCAGTAATATTTCGTCTTTGTTCATTACACTGTCAGTAATATTTCATCATCAATCATTATACTTCAAGAAAAAAATTTCTATCAGAGTAATTTTATTTAATAGATATTCAAAATCAAATTCAGACATTTTGTAGAGATTTTCAAATTTTCCAGAATATTTTTTTTTCACTTATTCATTGAATTTGTACTATTATTTCTAGAAAAAATTTAGTTTTTATATTTGACAAATGAAGTAAAAGTGTAACATTTATGAAGTTCCTTTAAATAAGTTACTTACGCAGCTACTTTTTTTTAAGATAAAAGTTTATTTATTTGAGTTATTCAAATAATGTGAGCACTTCAAATATAAAGAAAAACAGTACAGAATAAAATTTTAAATGTCTAAAAATTAAAATAATTAAGAATAAATAGAGGCTAAAAATAGATAAATTATAAAAGTATATTATGTATGTAATAAAATCTTTTATCTACTTCTATTTAAAGATGTCATCTGCCAATCTTCTTTTTTTCGTTTTTTCTCTTTTTATTATGTAAAAATTATACACAAGAAATAATCACAATTCCTGCTACACAATTACCTCTTCAAATCTCTACATTATCCATCTTTTCTAACGTTATCACATATGTTCTTTAAACACATGACCTATATTCATATAGCAAACTATGCATCTGTGTCATACTGCATATTTATATATGACCAACATTAACTTAGCATTGGTTATCAATGCATTAATCAACATTAGCAGGCATGACATATCTTCTGGAGACACCTTTATGAAATTGATTACACTCTAAATATGTCATATTATAAAATTAATTTTTTTTAATTTTTTGAAATAATTATTGTTACACTGTAATAATAGCTTTATTTATCAGTAGAATGAACGGAGCTTTAAATGGACTTCTGCGATTATATCCAATAGTACGCCATTGGACAGTCCTATCGAATTATGTAGTACCTTTACAAACGATACAAAAAGTATCACGAATTTGTAATACCAGTTTGACAAGTAATCTAATATTTTAGATACACATTTGTAATATAAATATAATATTTCAACAGAATGTATCTGTTTTTTTAGATCATATACAGCTGGAGGATTGTACATCATCAGCAGAAAAAAATTATGTATTCAATGATATCAAGTCATATAAATATATGGAAATATTGGAGAAAATAACAAAAAATAATATAAATATGACTCTAGAAGATGCTATTAACACGATGTGTATATTATCTAAAGCTTTTAAACACGTGGATGATAGAGATTTGCAAAATATTAACCAGCATATAGGTTTTATGCACCTGTGCGAAGTATTAAATAGAAATATTAGACTTATGAAAACCAACGAAATTATTATTAGTCTGAAAGTATTGACATATTTTAAGATTCCAGTCAACTCAGTTTTAATTCAGTCATTATTGCAAATGATTCGTGCAAATATAAATGAACTATCACTTAAAAATATAATTATTATATCATTTATATTCAAGAAAATGGATAGTACACCATTGAGGGATGCTTTATTGATAGCACTGCCTGTTGTTTTTGAGACGCAGTTACCTACAAAATTAGATCCAGATAATATTATTATGTTGAAACGATCTTTAAGATTTATAAATGAAAATAGTATTAATAATCCAAAAATACAAAATATAATACTGAAGTCATTACAAAAATTTGAAAAGGATCTGGATGCACAAACAGCTTGGTCTATACTTTGTAGCTTATGTGTTACCTCTTATCTATCTCCGATGCATTTTGAATTACTATTTAACATTCAGAAGATTTTAATAAGTAATGCAAAACAATTAAATATGGGAGAGATATTAACGGGACTTCATAAATTAGTGTTGGCCATTGCAAGGAAGTATGTCCTCGTTATATTATAAGGTTCTCATATTAATATTTGACATTGTGAAAATAAAATATTGACATTATATTATTATTGTAGCAAAGAATATGGATGCAAGTTTTACAATGAAGCACTGATGGATGCTTTTGTCAATTCAGCATTATCTACAGAAGAACTTTCTTTTAACAATTGTATCCGTCTGCTGAAACATTTGAATGATCTAAATTATGTTCATATACCCTTTTTAGAATATTTAGCAGCAAAATGTTTCGAAAAACCAAAATTACTAGAAAACTCATCATATTTTAGAATATCTATTTTCTTAGAAGGATTAATTAATGCTGATTACAAACCAGTATTTTGGGATATTATACGAAATGCGATATTGGCGAATGAAGAGATATTGGAGAACAAAATGTTTAACACATCTATGATTCAATTTGTTCTACATTTGATTGCATTAGATTGTTACAGCCCAAGTTTAATCAGCAAAGTCTTTTCTCAGATATGTAACAAGATTATAAAAACTGATCCAATGAACAATATATATATGAGAGAGTTATTACTTTTGTATCAGAGTGTTAAGACGCTGTATCCTATGTATAATGGACCATGGCCATCGCAAGATTTACTTGAAGATGCTGTAAACATACACAGAACATTGCTTAGTTCCATACGTCCTACATTTTCCTTAAAACCGGCATTAGAATTAGCGTTAGGTGGCCCTCAGTATGTTCATAATAGCTTGAGGACAAAACTTGGACATTACATTGGTAAGTTATTAATAAAAGTAAAATTATTCTCTGTACATTATTAAGGAAAAATATCTTTTGTATATGCAACTTAAGAATATTTAATCTTTAAATAATATGTTAATTTTCCTTAAATTGATAAACATTCAAAATAATAATATAATTTGATTATTAAATTATATGCCGATATGAATTTTGATCAAGAAATAGCAGTATGTAATCCCGAAAATGTTTGATATGCTAATGCTAAAACTAAATCCGTAGCCCAAATTATTTCATCACGTCAGGTTTCTGAGATATTATTCCTTAAAGTGTCAAAAGGGCCTATTTTAAATGTTTTTGGATTATTGTAAACCTGATATAATGACGAAATATGGGTTGCGAATTCGAATTTAATATAAAAAAAAAATCTATGAAAATCATCTATGATTATAAATGGGTCCACGCAATATAATAAAAAAAATATATTGCAAATATGTTATCATTCTTAGCCGAACTGAGTTACGAATGTGAATATAATGGTTATGGATTTCCATATTTTTTATTTTTTATTCTTATTAATTTTTTTATTTTCGAAGTTTTTACTTTTACTTTTTAAAAATCTTTTTTGTACTTTTTGTAATATATATGTGCGTGCATGCGTGCGTGCGTGCGTGCGTGCGTGCGTGCGTGCGTGCGTGCGTGCGTGTGTGTGTAACGAAAAATACAAAAAAGATATATACAGGGTATCCCATTTTAAAAGATCCATTCAAATATCCCAGAAACCACCGACATTAGCAATATGCAAGGTGTCTGAGACGGCTAAAACCTTTTGAATGTTGTTCAGGATCATATCCTGAATAATATTTGTTAAGATCAAGGTCACTGGAGATTGTTTCTTTTATTTTCATTTTTACATAAAAATGAATTTTTAGTGCAAAAATGAAAATAAGAGATCCTGAACAACATTCAAAAGATTTTAGCCGTCGATCAGATACCTTAGGTAATGCGAATACTGACGGTGCTGTAACTTGCAAAGCCTTATAACTCGCAAAGTACTTAATGAAAATGGACTTATAGTTTTTTGAAAAGCTTTTGAGGTAAGCTACAAGAATATGCAATGAAAAATTGAAAATTCCATTAAAAAAATTCAGAATGACTTTGCCCTGACCTTGACAATGCTATCCAAGGTCGAACCATCTTATGTTCCCCTCGAAGTCACAAAATTTTTGCCTGAAATACTTTTCGATTTAATGCAGTGTCTGCATTAAATCTGAGATATTTGAATGGATCTTTTAAAACGGGATACTCTGCGCGTAAGACACACACACACGCGCGCGCACACACACAGTGTCCGGAAAATTGCTTGCAATACTTCATGAAATGATTCGGGATTCAAAAAGAAAAAAAAAACTAACATTAGTACCGAAATAGGTCGTTTCCGAGTTATAACACTTTTATGTTAAAAAAATTGTAATTTGTTTGTCATAATCAGAATCATAATTTATTTCATTAGTGTTTTAACATAAATAACTACATTTCAGACTATTTTAGCATTATCCAGGATGCATCATGTAGAGGCATAGTTCAGTCCGTTTTGACATTCCCCCTTTTTAATATTTTTATTAAAAAGTTTTTTTATTCTATTAGAAGAAGATGCTAAGCGCACTATGTCTCTACGTAGTGCAGTGTAGGTAATGCCGAATTGGTTCGAAACGTAGTTATTTATGTTAAAGCACTAATAAAATAAATTATAATTGCGATTGTGAAAAATAAATTACAATTTTTTTAACATAAAAGTGGTTATAACTCGGAAACGACTTCTTTCCGGATCTTTAATACAGCTTTCGTCTTTCTTCTTGAATCCCAAAAGAATATCACTTTCCAAAACATTGCGGGCGATTTTCTGGATACCCTGTGTTTATATCGCGTGTGTGCGTGTGCGTGTGTCCCATATTTTGTGATCAAAATTATAATAACACATTTCTGGCTTAAAAATAAGACAAAAATTCTAATATCAAAATGTTGAAGCTATAATAGTTTTTGAATTAATTCCTTATATATAATTAAAATAATTCGCTATACATATTTATTATTTTTTATTCCTGTGATATTTGTATGTTATGTACATTGCATATGTAATTATTTTCTATGTTTAAGTGATTAGTGAAGTATTTCAAAATTATTGTTTAGCATTGTATACGTTACTTCAATCTCACGTGCGGTAAACATAGACTTACGAACATCTGCTTGTGTGATAAACCATCCCTGAGCGTGCGAAATGTCAGCTCTGTGATCAGTTAACTTTAATCGTTATTAATTTAAAAACTATTATAGCGACATTTTGATATTAGGATTTGTATCTTATTTTTAAAAATATGTTATTAATACGATAAAGAACGCCATGATCGGTATTCTTTATTGTATTTGATGTATTTATACGGTCGTTCTTAATCTTATAATGTTTATATATTATTAAAATTTCGGTCACGAATTGTGGGACATCCTATACACACACACACATCCACCTACACGCGCGCGCGCACACACACACACACACACACACACACACACACACACACACACACACACACACACACACAGAAAGTAATGATAAAGTTTTTACATAGGAGCAGAATAGATTAAATTGAGAAGAAAAATTTTCTACCATTTTATGATTTTAGCAATAAAATATTAATTGCTAAAAATTGTCGAAAATTGGTCTTCAATAATTTTTTACTCAAATACTATCAACTTCATAGAAAAACTGTAAGAGACAAAAATTGTTTATTTCCTTCTCATAAAGTTCCGAAAATTTTTTCAGAATTTTTTAATACCGTATTTTCTCATGTTGGTAAAAATAAGAAAATGCAGTCCTAAAAAGTTGATAAAAAATTGTGAAAAAATTTTTATTCTATATCTTAGAATTCTATAAGAAGAACATAAACAAAAAATTGTTATCTCTTCAACTAAAGGTGGTGAGTACACTTACGATATATCTATTTCTTTTTACTTTTTGTGTTGATCCATTTATAATCATAGGTGATTTTCATAGATTTTTCTGAATTGCTGAATCCGCATTTTAATTTTGAATCCGCAGCTCATATTTCTTCATCACATTAAGTTTACGAGATATTCTAATTAAAAAATGCTCAAAATAGATCTTTTTGACACTTTAAGATTAGTATATCAGATATCTCAAAAACCTAACGTGATGGAGCAATTTTAGCTATAGATTTAGTTTTGGTATGCCAAAAATTTTTGGGATATATAGTTTCTGAATTAAAAAAAAATATTTTTTTGTAAGCCTGTGTAATTGATCACCTTACATTATTTTTAATAATTTTTCATGTCATTAATTTTTTCTGCGATTTTTTGAACTGCGATTAGTAACTTGAAGTTTATCTAAAATTTCATCATTGTAGATCACGTTATTGTAATGAGAAAAGGAGGATATCCTATTGCAATTAATACATCTAATGTACTGGCGTACAATACAACTAACGTGTACGTTGAAGATATACAAACTCCAAGCCAAAGTCAGATGTAAGAACACATACGCTTATTTAATACACTACAATTGATTTTTTGCATTGCTTGTTTGTTATCAGTGTGTACATTTTAGGATACTTATTTTCAATTTACCTGAAGCTGCATATGCTGTGAATTCTCAAAGAATAAAAAGTACATGGTCATTAAAAATAAAATCCGTTGAAGCATTAATAAAAACAAATGTAATTGCGATAAATTCTAGTTCTTGGATGAAATTACCAGAATACGAAAAAGTTCCATATCTGATGCGAGCTATAAGATTAAAATGTGAAGATGATTCATCCTTAACGAAATAAAATATATTTTATAATCGACAAGAAAATGTGTAGGATTGTCGGATATATTCTGAATGATATTTTTTGAATGTAACTAATATATGTATATACAGAGTGTTTTTTTAAAACGCTCACTAATCATATAGTGCTATTCTTAATAAAAAACTGAATCGAAAAGTCCTCTACTATTTTGCAATTTTCCACCATTTTTAGTGCATCGTTGAAATGAGTACGAAATATAGGAGTGTGATGGAACATACGGTACTGCATACATTAGTATTATGCATTAGTATTGTGTGTATGACATGTATGTACATATATACACATGCACATTTGCGGAAGTTGCATTATAAATGGCGGAACCAATTAGAGAAGAGAAACAATATCCGTTTCACTCTTCCTTGATTCTCTCTGGTACATATGTGTGTGCGTGCGTGGCATGCGTATTCATTACATTGTTTACAAATTAAAATTTTTTTCTAGATCACGAACAGGACAAAATAATTATTATAGATTTTTGTCACTGAAAATTAATCTGAAAATGAAATTACTCTGTTATGTCACATTTTTTCAAGAAAATTGAACCTAAAAGAATTGAAAATGGCATTTTTAGATATTTTTGAGCTAAAATGTTTCAGAAACGTGATGTGATAAAGCAATTTCATTTACGGATTTGTTTGTAGCTACCAACAAATCTATAAAAGTCACCTATTGTATTGGCTGCTTTTGTGCAAGAAATAATAGATGGAATGAAGAGAACTAAAATCTGTAGATAAATATGATCTTTTAAGGAAGAATCGGTTATGCAATTTGAATGCTCATTTGCATGGTTTGTGAGGTCATAATTACGAATCTGGAATCAAAATTATCACATAATTTATTTAAACAATTAACAAAAATTTAAATGAAAATAACACTATTCTATGAACAAAACGTACATATCTAGTACATTACATTATTTTTTTAGCACCTCATTTATTATAAAAAAAATACAAAACATCAGGTGATTATTTAAATTGTATAAGCGATATACATATCAAAGTTATACATATTTATCTACGGTTTTAAGTTCTTTCTGTTCATTATAATTCTTTCTTTTTACATAAAACAGTCAGTACAATAGGTAACTTTTATAAATTTTTTGCCGCTGAAAACGAATCCATATATGAAATTACTCATACTCATGTCACATTTTTGAGATTCTTCAGTTCAAAAGTATAAATGCAATTTTTGGCACATTTAAGCTCAATTTTCTCACAAACATGATATGCTAGAGTAATTTCATACGGAATTCATTTTCGAAGTTTAAACTCCATTTTAGACATTATAAATAATGTACTGTTATACAAACAAATATATATATTGAATATACATATACGTAATAAAATATAATAATTTGTTATTCGTTTATGAGAAAATAAAATTATATATATATACTCGTATATAAAACATAACTTATACAAGAAACAACGTTTATTGTATAATTACTTTTGCGCGGAAATAACTCATCGATTTCTGATCGGAATGCAAAGAAGGTTCATGCGGGAGATGAGAAAAATAAAAAAAACGGTGCTGTTTACAATGAAATAAAAAGGTATAGTAAATCCTGTTTAGGGAAATTCCATCCAATGACCTTGACATATAGTATGTTGTTAAGGTCATGACTCTTAGTGACCTCTAACAAGTTTTAGCCGTGGCTTGTTATTCGTTATTAAAAAGTTATTAACAAAAAAAGTTTGAAAAATAATCCAGTCAAAAGGATATAGTTTATACAACTACTATCGAATCAATATCTCAAAACTGATATTGAAATAAAGTCAAACTCTAAGTCGACATCGAAATGGTATCACATATCAACGACTTTTAATATGTATTTCGATATTATTTCAATGTCGAATCAACCTTACTTTCATATAGAAATCTAACTTCGATTGGTTCATCTCTTATGTACTTATGCGTTATGCATTATTCAAAAGTCTATTCTGCGGTAATTCTAACTCAACGATCTCAACGTTGCACAAATACGTAATGAAAAAGTTCGATTGATCAGTTAGTACTATTTTAAAACTAATAATGTTAGATTTATCTATTACGACAAGAAACTTTTCAAGCCTGTTGATTGCTGCGAGATAGAGATTCTCTGATCTTCTATCCTGCAGTCAAGGGTGGACAAAATACTTAAAAAATTATATTTAAATACAAAATATTAGGTCAATCGGAAAGTTCCGTCCATCTAGCGGCGAGTAGCTCTAGCTAGAACTGTCGATAACTCTAATGTCTAAACCAAACTAATTTTTTAGTTTTACTATCTGTCAATAAAATTCAGTATATAAAAGTATACGTTTACATCAATAACATTGCTTTTTACTGCATCGAAAATGTCAACATTTGAGCCAAATAAGCGTCATTTGAGCGAAGTATTAATCTTTTGTTTCAAATGGAAGAAAACTGTAGCTGAAACTCATCGAATGCTTGTAGAAATTTATGGTGATAGTGCTCCTTCCGATAAAACATGCAGAGAATGGTTTTGAGAACGCTTTAAAAGTGGTGATTTTGATATGAAGGACAAAGAGTGTTCTGGACCGCCAAGAGCATTTGAAGACGAAAAATTGCAGGCATTGATGGATGAAGATCCATGTCAAACGCAAAAACAACTTACAGAAACATTAAATTGTGCTCAATCTGTTATTTCCGATCGTTTGAAAGCCTTGGGAAAAGTCTATAAGAAAGGAAAATGGGTCCCATATGAATTGAAGCCAAGAGACATTGAAAGGCGAAAAACCATCTGCGAAATTCTGTTTGCTAGGCAACAAAGAAAGGGATTTTTGCATCGAATTGTAACTGGTGAAAAGTGGATCTATTTCGATAATCTCAAACACCGAAAAACTATTTGCGATTCAGGCCAACCATCGACATCGACGCCAAAGCGGAATATCCACGGAAAGAAGGCAATGCTCTGTATTTGATGGAATCAGAAGGGTGTAGTGTACCACGAGCTGTTGAAATCTGGTCAAAGGAGATCTCTACCGAGAACAAATTATCCGTTTGAGCCGAGCATTGTATGGAAAACAACTAGAATATGAAACGAGACATAAAGTGATTTTGTTTCATGATAACGCTCGGTCTCACGTCGCAAAACTTGTCAAGGAAACATTAGAAGTATTTCGCCCATGCGGCTTATTCACTAGACTGTGCTCCTTCCGATTATCATTTGTTTCGATCGATGGCACATACACTTGCAGAGGAACACTTCAATTCTTATGAAGACGTCAAAAAATGGTCTCTGAATGGATAGCCTCCAAAGATAAGTCATTCTTTCGCCGCGGAATTCGCTTACTGCCCGAAGGAGAAAAAGTCATCTAACAGCTAACGATGAACAATATTTTGATTGAGGTATTTTTTAATTTTGTTTTTTAAATAAAACCATACTTTTTGCAAAAAAACGGACGGAACTTTCCGATTGACTTAATACAAAAAAATTATATGTAAATATAAAAATATATACTACTTAAAAAATTCTATTTAACCTTAATATACGCCTTTAGGTCATTCATGTCCTGCGCATTTCTTTTCTTTGAAATATTAATCCCGTTTCCATCAACATAGATTAACTTTAATCTCGTTCAACTTACTCTTTATTTTTTTTTAGTTCGAAAAATTAGAAAAAGACGAAGAGTAAGTTGAACCAAGATTAAAGTTAATTTACATTAGCAGAAATGGACATAAGAGGATCAAATACTGATCTCTTTTCTATTCCTAATAAAAGTTTGGTATCTAGAGAACAAGTTTTGTGTGTTACCGGCCTCAATTCGTGTGTATCCTTTAAGTGGCATAACTCCGAAATTCACCTCTGGGTCACAAATGACCCAACGTATATATAGAGCGTATATTTTTTGTAACTAAAAAATTATTTTTTTCTTTATTTTCAACTAATTCTTGGTTATATTGCGAGAATATTTCACATTATTAAAAAAAGAATTTAACCCTAGAACAACATTCCAGACAACAAGTTGTTAGTTAGAAATGAATTCTCAAATAAATAAACAAATTCAAAGGACTCTTTCAAAACATAATAACAAAAACTCAATCAACGGGCGAAGTAAGAGTCAACCACATTTTTTAATTTTGACATAAAATTATATATTGTATTAAACGCGATGAAACATCACGCCAAAAAATAAATAAAACTATAAACTAATACATTACAAGTAACAAGTTTCGGCTACCAGTTTGAGCCCTCTTCAGACATTAGTACAATAAAAGTAACAGAACAAATTCAATTGTCGCAAGTATTCGCATAATCCGAATAATCACAGTTCGGGTGAGTCTTGATCTCGAAACATAATTTCCGTATGGTTGAATAGTCAAAAGTATTAAAATTGTCATTGTTGAAGTTCAGAAATCATGTGTAAGAAGTTTGAATTAATCTGTCCAAAAAAGAACTAAAAAACTTTTGAAATGTGTACAGAGAGAAGGAACGTAGATATGTAAAACAGACATAATGTATCGATTATCATGTACGTTCAGTAGTGAGGATCAACACAGACTGTCACTGTCAGAGGGTGGTAGTGCGTGGCAGAATTTTGCGGTTACAGGTTTTGGGCCGTCATATTCTCTCTCAGGTTTCTCTTTGGTCATAAGTTGAGTTCAGAATAAAAAAAAATTAAAATAAAAAAAAAGAAATTTTTTTAAATTTAAAGAAACTTAAAAAAAGCTTAAAAATCTTTTCTTTTTTAAAATATACTCCTGATTGCTGAAGTTAAATACAAATATAGATGGAAATCTTAAAAAACAAATCTAAATAAAAAAATTGTTTAATTAAAAATATATATAATTAAAATAAAAAGATATAATTTTTAAACTCAAAAACGAAAACTAATAAAGACAAGTAACTTAAAAAATGAAAAAATTTTTAAAAATGAAGATTAAAGATAAAAAAATTACTTTTTAAAACATAAAAATGTTTTTGCATGAGACACAGAAATTCACATACACATATACATATGTTGCTTTTAAAAGTATAAAATAAAAAAATTAAATAAAATTTTAAAATAAAAAAATAAAATTTTTTAATTAAAAAATACAGGATGCATCAGATATTTGAGGACATATTGATTTTAAAACTAAAATTTG